ATATTTCGAATCCCTGGAGTTCTGTTCGAGGCATTTCTTAGCAGAGGGCATTAGGTGTGATCAGCTCCATGATGTTTTGACAGGTTCGATTTCTATTAATCCATCTAGTAATGTTTGTGTTTTAGTTCCTGCCTGGTTGAAGCACGACTGCTTGAAGAGCATCACCGTTAAAGCTGGTCATTCCGTTCGTTGGGAAGTGAAGATTGGTGGAGAACCCGTGCCAGAAGTAGTCTGGACCAAAGGGAGACAAACCGATCGAGCCATCACTCAATCTTAGCATTGACACCAAGAAAAACGACCACACTATTTTGTGCATTCCCTCAGCAGTACGCGCCGATAGGGGAGAGTACCGGTAAGTAATTGTGACCTATACTACAGTTAGAACGACCTCACAGGTCGAGGTGGGGACCGTTCTCAAGCACATGACACATTTATCATATTTCAGACTGTCCGTGAAAAACGCATATGGTCACGATACAGAAGTGGCAAACTTGACTGTACTGGATCGACCATCAAAGCCGAATGGTCCTCTGGAAGTGACAGATGTCTTTGAGGACAATTGCAATCTCGCATGGAAACCTCCTGGCAAGTTATTTCTCGCTTTTGTTTGCGCATATGAGTTTCTTAACAATCTCTCAAAAACTTGGACAAACAACGGACGAGCGAAGCTACGCTCGGAGTGATTCGGGAAGTCAAGACTTGGATAGCCTGGGGATATTCCCACTATTACAATATTATCATTAGCAATCTCCTGGAAACGGACGGGAAAATGTACAGGAAAACCTTATCGGTCATAATGATGTGAGAGAAGCCGTACAGAATACCTAGCTGTTTTTCGGGCAGCAGGGGAAAGGTTCTCAACTTGGGTCAATAACGATATGGTACTTACTGAAGAGCGCATTTTTAGATTCAAGCCTCAGTTAGGGATATTCTAATTCCGTGATCCGCTTCTCTTTTCTGCTGAAATCCGTATAGAGCGCTCAAATGGAGTTAGAACGACAACCGAACCACGATTCAACGACAGAATTCGAAAGTACTTAAGAGGTGGAAAGGGTCGCAGCCGCATAGATTATGCCACTTTGGCCAATCCGAAATGCTTGGCAGTCGCGAGCGGTCTGCGATAGCCGCAAGCCTTGCCGCCTTGCCCTTATACAGTGGTACTTCGCGATGACGCGCTATAACGCGCGTCGACGCACTACTATTCTCCAATGCTATAGACGCGGATGCAGCCACAGGGCTAGTGTCAATTGATATCAGTCTGCGTAACTAGGCAACATCTACCAACCCATCCCCTCATACACTCTCGAAACACAGGCGGCAGGCGCGCATCGATCGAGACGGGAACCGATTGGCACCAGCCGTCTCCGGCTGCATTCGCGTCTATGGCCTTAGGGCGCTGTTGCAATCGTAGCGCGTTGACGCGTGCTACAGCGCGTCGACGCGC